AGTATCACATCTTCCCCTACTTAAGTATGAAACGTACACTTTGCAACCCAAGAATCCGCCAACTGCTAAGCCCCTCAACAGTCAGGTCAACAGCTGCCAGTTATCGCAGGTCGGCTCTGATACTAACTGTGACACTCCGTTCCGCAAGCCACGCAAAATTGGACGTGTCGGGATTGTAAACTAGCTCACAGGTCAACCCAAATTCTTCCAATATATTTTTTTTTCTTTCTCACTCACGCATACGTTAGGAGACTTTTTGGAGATCACTCATCCTCAAATTACTTTAGGGCAAAGACACTTAACTCTACAGATATTTCAGTAGGACTTCAAAAAATGAATGCGCACATTATTGATATGAACAATCTATTCAATCAACTTAATCTCTATTCATTTTTTAATGATCTAGCACCGACTCAGTTGACCTAGCACTGGCCCAACATCGGGATATCACAAGTAAAGCCACATCCAAAACTTTACAAGTAAACACACAATAATTGTGTATGTATTTTTAAGGTTTGTGTGATTACTTGTAAAGTTTTGAAGATTTTCAATTTTTTTTTCTTATAGTTTATTTATTATTGGTATACATATTTTATATATCTAGATTTTGTTTATATATATATACATTAATATATATACTCTCTCCGTCCCATAACAAATTATTCGTTTTTTTATTTTAGTTTGTTCATAACAAAATATCTATTTCTTTTTTTTTTTTAGTAAATGTGCTATCTACCTAATATTATAAATACCTTTACAACTTCCAATATATTACACAAATACTATTACATTTATATCACACAATACTAATAAGGTTATTTTAGTCATTTCTACTTTATTGCTACTGTATCCCAAAATAATACTAATATTTTTAAAACTCGGTATAAAAAGCAAATGAATACATAATTATGAGATCGAAATGAGTAAAAGTTTTAGAATTATTCACTACTATCAAATTTATTTAATAATATTAAATTAAATATTCCTTTTTTTCTACACAATTTTCTTTTCGTGCTAAGTTTTCGCGCTCACATTAAGTCATCCTCCTCTTTGTCGTCATTATTATTATTATTATTATTATTATATACACATACCCATATCACACGTGGGGAAGGTATAATTAGGACAATTATGTCAAAACATTAACATTTAAGTATGTTAGAGAATAATTTAGCCCAATTCAAAGAAACTTCTAAAATTAACTATTTTACTTTTATATGTGAGTTTTTAAGTCAATGATATCAATAATTTCAAAGTTCAATAAATTTTGAATGAAATTTCTATTTTTAAGCTTTAACCTGCAACAATTTATATTATTATTATTATTATTATTATTATTATTATTATTATATATGAATTATTCTTTAGCCCATTTCAAAGAAATTTCTAAGATGAACTATAACATCATATTAAGATTGAATTTTTTTATTTTACTATTTTACTTCTATAAGTGAGTTTTGAAGTCAATGATATTAATAATTTTGGAGTTCAACAAGATTTGAATGTTACATCCATTTTTAAGCTTTAACCACAACAAATTCTATTATTTATTTATTTAGTTATTTGTGTTTGATTGGACGATTTTATTATTCATTCAATCGTTTTCTTTAAAAATATATAAAATCAAATATCTATTTTAAATTTTTTTATATAATATTACAAATTAAATTTATATTCAAAACATCGGGATTTGTTTCTTTTATCTTCATACTCCAGTTTTCTATTATTTAGACTCTATATTTTAAAATATATATATATTTTTTTCTCTCACAAAATATCTCATCATACATTATTTTGACACAAAACTTAAACCAAAATTTTCTCAAATCTATCAAAAGAAACATGACTGCATCGTAATGCATAGCTGGAGTACGGAGTTTTAGGTATTATATAATTAGTAAGTAATTAAGATGTGTATTAGTAAAAATAATTATGATATACTAATAAGAATAATTATAGATTAAATTTAAGATGACTAAATAGTTTAACTAAAATAAAAAAATTTATAAATTATGAATTATAAAACGCGATTAAAGTATATAATTATATTTTTAAAAAAGGAATGAGACAATTCACATGGAATGGCCGAATATAGAAAGAGTAGACAAATTAAGTGGGACGGAGAAAGTATATAAAGTTAAAGAGCAAAAATGTCAAAAAAAATTTTACATACTTCCATTGACCAATAAAATACTACTCCCCTGTCCCGGCTACGGTGTCCCATTTACGGTAAACATGAGAATTTAGGAGAAATATAATTAGTAAATAATTAAAATGTATTAGTGAAAATAATTATTATGTAATAAAAATAATTTTAAATTAAAATAACTGATTAGTCTAATTAAAATTTAAAAATTATAAATTATTTTTTAAATGAGATTAAAGTGTATATTTTTTTTCCAAAAAATAAAAGTGACAGAATAAGTAGGACAAACAAAAATAGGAAAGTGGACATAGTAAATGGGACGGAGGAAGCATTATTTCTTAATCTACTATAAAACCCTAAAAGACCTCTTTCAAATGCGACGAAAAGAATATATTTATATTACATCATATAACTATTCAAATTCAAACACGGCTAAAAAATTCAGCAACGTTACCACTTACATTACATTGTGCGTATAGATCAAACTATAATGTTGGCTCGGCACAAGGGACATGTCTCGTTCTCGACCATCCATGTCTCAATACAAATACAATGATATCTATGCATACACGCCTTTACCACCGCCACCGTTTCGCCGCCTCCAAACTCCTCCAGACATATTGCGCAACGGCCGCCGCTTTCTGGCGGTTTTCGAGAAACGCTTTTCTCCAAATATAATTGATTAATATTGCGCACCGCCGGAGATATCAACCTCCACAATTTGCGCAGCCGCGAATTGCTAGCATTGAACACATCGTCAGCTAACTCCGGAGATATTACATAAGCGGGACAACATTTAAGGATGAGATACAAGACAGCAGTAATTCCTGTCAAAAGAACACAATAGCCCATCAAAAAATTCATATTTAAACTTTGAATTTTTTTTTTTTTTGAAAAAAAAAAAAAAAGTTGTTGAATTAGATATTTCGAAAAACTCACACACTAGACAAGATGAATTCGAAGAATGAACATATATATATATATAATTGTGGATATATTTGTAATCTTAATTATAGAAGAATCTAATCATTGAAAGAATTGAAGTTTATGACACGTGGACATATTAATAAATCTAAGTGGAATCTTAGCCACGAATTTGTTAATTTAATTGTGATTTAATAATCTCACATATATGATGTTGGTTGAGATATTAAAAAATAAAATAAAATCTTATTGAATTATAATACTCCTTCCGTCCTAGATACCATGTACACGTATCATGTCATTTTCTTTTTTTTTGAAAATGATTACACACTTTACTTTCATTTTAAATTTTTTAATTTAATTTTTTTTAATTAAACTAATTAGTTATCTTAATTTTAATTTATAATTATTTATATTATAGGATAATTATTTTCACTAATACATTCTTAATTATCTACTAATTACACCCCTCCTAAAATACCGTGTCTACAGTGTAACAGATACAGTATCTGGGACAGACGGAGTATAAATCTATAAATTCAGTTTATTACTCAAGGGATTATTAATTAATCCCATATTAGAGCATCCGTTGTTACTTTTAGACTATTATTTTCTTTATTTCTCTCGTCAACGTCTTATTCATATCAATATTTAAATTACTTTTTTTATAAGCTGTTGTAGATAATTATCTTCAACTTATTACCTTTACTATTTTATAATACCTACAATAATTTATTTATTTCTATATATTTTTATTATGTAGTAATATAATAAAAAAAAATTATTTATTTATACATAGTCTTATATTTTTATTGTCTAATAATATTTTTATATAATATTATATTTTAATTTTTAAATATTAATCTATATAAATTTTAATAATTTGAAGCATATAATTTACTATTTTAAAATTTGAAGAGAAAAATTAGAGGCAAAAAAATAATTATAAAATATGATAGATAAAATGTTATAATTGGTTAATGAATTTTAAATATGTTTATAGATAATTTTTATTGAATTTAAAATTTGAAATTTTAAGATTTTTTTTTTTAAAAAAAGATAATACTCAATTAATTTGTGAGTGTAACAAATGCTAGGATTTGTTTGAAACGGTTATTTTTTTAATTGTGATATATATATATATATATATATATATTGTTTTTGTTTCAAAAAGTGGTTTGGATGGATTATATATATTGTTACAACGAATTGTAAAGTAGAAAATGATCAAATAATCCAAACCATATTTCTATTGGACAATTTTTCACTTTGTTCTGTTTATTTATTTATTTAATACTCCCTCAGTCCCGGCATCTGCTACACTGTAGACACAGTATTTTAGGAGGGGTGTAATTAATAAATAATTAAAAATGTATTAGTGAAATTAATTATCATATAATATAAATAATTATAAATTAAGATTAAGATAACTAATTAGTTTAATTAAAATTAAAAAAAAATAAAAAAAATTTAAAATGAGATTAAAGTGTGTAATCATTTTCAAAAAAAGAAAATGACATGGTATGTGGGACGGACATAAATGGCAACATGACATGGTATCTGGGACGGAGGGAGTATTATTTTCTATGCAATTTTATGATTTCTTGTGAAAACACACCTAACAATAAAGCAAGCCATTATCTTGATTTCCTATACAAATACATCGACTATATATTTACCTTGATTTGATATTTTTAATTTGAATAATATGATATTCTGTAACATAAAAAGATTATTTTTATAACAGAATTCCAAAAGAATATATATATATATCTGTAAATACGAATTATTTGATCTCACAAAATATCACATTTAAATCATAATTCAAATTAAATATAAAAATCAAAAACAACAAAACTATCGAACACGAAATTCCAATGTACAATAAATTCAATAAAAACCCCAATCAATCGACTAGATCGAAAATATATCAAACAAAAACCCGAGTTCTACACAACGGGCATGTATCATTCTCGGCAAACCATGTCTTGGCACAAACGACATGATATCTATGGTCACATGGCTTAATCACGGCTAGAGGCTCGCTGTCTTTATATTCCTCGAGGCAAATTGTGCAATGAGAATCTTTGGACCGAGATTTTTCTTCGATAAATTTATCCAAAACAAACCCATGATTGTCGAGAAACAAATCCAAGCTCCAAAATCTACGCGTCTCGGAAACATCTTCACTATTATTAGGAACCACACCGATGACTATCTGCGTCAATTGAACATTGTTAACACGCTCTTCGGAAACTGTCGCCGATTGTTCCTCCGACCAAATAATTGCTACACACACAATGATGATGAAGATGATTATCGCTATCAGGTCGACAACCAACAAGAACTTGCCGTAGGTCTCCATGTTTGTGATTTTTTTTTTTTTGTTTTTTTCAAGAATGGTCTGTATTTATATTTTGTGTTTAAATAGTAGTTGGAAGTCAGTTTTTTGTGCAGACGAAATAATATATTTTTTTTTATAAGAATTATCCCGGAAAAAAAGAAAAAAAAAACCCTAAAGATAATAGAGGTAGAAAGAATTTGAGCGTGTTGATTTTTTTTTTGTAAAGGGTGTTGAAATTTATATGTACATATTTTTATAAATCGATTTTTAATAAGTACTTGAGGAATAATTTTGTTAAGATTTGATTTGTTATTAGAAATAAATTTAATTAGATATGAATATATATTGGTTTGTTTCTTCGACTTTTAAACTCCAAATATTTAACATATATTATTTTAATATCAAACACAAACCAAAATTTTTCCAAATTTACCTGAAGAAACATACCCGCAACATGCATGCAAGCGACATAAGATAAATATATGATATCTTATATATATAATGATAATATATATATATATATATATTTGTCACAAAAGTAAAAAATCAAAATTGATAATAAATTAATTATTTAGCCAAAAAAATCGGCATAGTGTGATTATATTGATTTTAAAATTTAATTATATATACATATAATTACTATATATCTAACCGATATATATACCTATGTATTTCCACCATTCCACCTATGGTGTTCGGTTACATAATTAATAAATAATTAATAATGTATTAGTAAAAATAATTATTTTATAATATAAATAATAATAAATAAAAAAATTTAAAATAATATTAAAGTATATAATCATTTTCACATGAGAACAAAACAACATAAAACACGATAGGTAAATGGGACGAATGGAGTATTTAATTTTAATAAAAGAAACTATTTCCTCCGTTCCATATTGAATGTTTGAGTCACTGTAAATACGAGAATTTAGGATAAATATAATTAGTAAATAATTACGAATGTATTAGTGAAAATAATTATCCTATAATATAAATAATTATAAATTTAATTAAAATTAAAAAATATTAAATTTAAAAATTTAAAATGAGATTAAAATGTGTAATTATTTTTTTTTAAAAAAAAAACGATAATATTCATTTGGTTGGCCCACTAAAGTTTATACACCTAATTTTTTCTCAAAATATTATATCATATTATATTTATATTTAATAAATAAATATATTTATATATACATTCAAAACATCCTATTTATTTTTAAATTAATTTATATTATTTATAAATAAATATATATTTTTATGTATTTATATTATATATTTTTACTAAAATCTAATTATTAAAATAATTAAATACATATTTTAATTTTTTAAAATATATATATTATATCAAATATTAATTAAATAGATTCTTTCAATTTAACTCAACTATCTAATAGGTACTCAAACATAGTTACTCACTAATGATTTTTTTTTTTCTTTTTGTTTGTTTGCTTTTGAAAAATAGAACTAAAAAATAAAAATTTGAAATATAATATGGATTTAAGTTTTTATTTAAATAATATTTTAATGAATGTATTTTTATTAAAATACAGTATAATTATAAAAATATAGATAAAAAAATATGATTACATTTTAAAATTAAAATTGAATTGAATAATTATATAAAAAAAGTATAAATTAAAATTTAAAATTTAATAATAATATAAAAATATTTTAAAATATGAATCCATTTTTAGTTAAGCATAAAAGTATTTCATCAGCCTCACCTCCCCTAGTGGTATTCATTGGAATACGGCGAGGTTTCGGTAGATGTGATATTTTGAATGTAAAATTGATTTTTAGTATAATATAAAAAATAAAAAATAAGTGTTTGATTTAATATTTTTGGGGAAAAAAATGGAATGAAAAGTAAACTTGGGGGAAAATTCCCAAACAAACACATTATTCATTCAATTTTTATTTTCAGAGGATTTGAACCCATGATCTCACGGTCACAAATTTACCCCTTACACCATCAGGCCATCTCTCACGGGACTCATATTTTTGTTAATTGTTAAAGTGGCGCATCTCTAAAAAAATTTATTTTTTAAAACGAAAATTGGTAAATTTTAAATAATATTTATAATTAATTATAAATTATTTTAAAATATTAATTTTAATAAAAATTCATTTTATATAAATTAAATAAAAATTAAATTAATCTAAACCAATTAAATTTATAATTTAAATAAATGAATTAATTCAAATCATCCAAATCTTAAATCCCAATTTTTCATTATTTTGACTAAAAGATTACATCATACATAATATTAATATCAAATAATAATCTATCTATTTATCTATTTTGATATGTCTCATATAAAAAAAAAAAAAATTTATTTAGTAATCGCAAACGTTACAAATACAAAAATTCAAATTAATTATAGAAAAATAAAAAATATATCCGTAAGAACAATTCCAACCCACTGTATATATGCATAGGGTTGAGCCAGAAAATGGGGCGGGAGGAGGGGCTCCAACCCACCCCCCAAATTCTCCCATTGTTTAAGTAATGCATTTTTTGAGTAACACTATACCTTCACTCTATTTTTTTAGGGAAGTTTTTATGGCATTTTGTGGTGTTTTTGTATTTTTGTTATTTTTTGAAGTGTATTGTATAATTTTATTTTTCAAAAATAATGTATAATTTTATTTTAAAAATTAATATATAATTTTCATTTTCGAAAAGTGATATAAAAATATTTTTTTAAAAAAAATAATTTTATTTTTTTTAAAAGTGATATATAATTTTATTTTTTAAAAGTAATATGTAATTTTATTTTTTTAAAGCAACCTGTACTTTTATTTTATAAAAAGTTATATATAATTTTTTATTTTAAATAGTTATTTGTGTCGATAGCATTTAATTATTTATTTAAAATTATTTTATTTGTAAAAGTTATTAATTATAAATATTAATTTTAATATATATAATTTCTAAATAAAATATAAATTATATATGTATGAATTAAAATGTAAAAGTAATTAAAATTGAGATATAATTTATAAATATAAAAGAATATATAAAATAATATAAAGGTACGGTAGCAAAAATGGAGTGACGGCTGAGGATGACATAAATAAATATATATATATTTTTATTTTATATTTACAAAAATTCAATAGTACAATTAATTTGAATAATTACCAAATTACATCAATCCATTCTTGCCAACACCCACCTTCTTCCCCAGCGCCCTTCTTCCCAACCGCAGGCAGCAATCACCTTCGACGACAAAGACTATCCTCTCTAAATTCACATCAATTCCTATCCAGTGCCTTTTTTTTTCTTCTTCTTCCCAGTTCAATTTTTTCAGATTTGAAATTGAATGATAAGTGGCTATCCAGTGCCTTCTTCTTGTTCCCAAGTTTCAATTTATTCAGATTCGAAATTGAGAGAGAAGTGGAGAATATAGAAGAGTGCGACAAACAGAGAAGAGAGCGACAAACACGGTAAGAATGAAAAGGTTGGCTATTTCCACCACATACGTGCTGCGTTGGCTTAAGATTTGTGGATTGGGAAGATTTTGGAGAAAATATCCGATTTTTAAATTTAATTAAAATTGTTTGTAGAGAGACTAAAATTGATGTTAATGGAATCAAAATTGATTGATTTTGATCTCAATGGACCATTTGTGATTTTTTTTTTTTTTTTTTCCGTCTTTTGGTAGTTCAATTTTTTGCGTGGTTTGAGAATTTGGTGATTTTGGGTTAGGTGTTTGGCATGGGAGTCACTGGTTTTTTGTTTTTTTTTTTTTTTTTTCTACTGTGGTAAGTGTTGATAACTCTTCCATACCTGCTGATGTTAGAAATCCTGTTGATTCTGTTAAGCTAGATTCTATTCTTAGTTGTGCTTTAAATCACGTTGGAAATGTGTCTGCAATCAAACCACGTTGCTGTTGTTGTATGATTTGGTGAATTTGACTATGAGTGTGAAGAATTATTTCTCTGGGTGCTTCGATTGTCCTGGAAAAGAAGTACAATTTATTGAAGCTGAAGTTATTATCTTTGTTGCTTTGGCAGAATTTGGGCTGATAGTATTTCTATCCAATGAATAGAGATACGATCAAACCATCTCATCTTTTGAGTCGTTTGGAGGACATTCTGGACTCTGATCCTCTCATGTAAGTATTTATTGATGGCAGTTTATCACCGTATTCTTTATTATTAATAGTTGAAGTAGGTAAAGGACAGTGATCTATTCAATTCTTGAAACTTGTCCCTGTTATTGTCTGTCTTGATGCTAAAACCATAAAAATGTTGTGCATTAAAGTGTTTGGAATAATCGGGAACATGTTTATCAGCTATATACATTATCTATACTATTGGCATTGATTTGTTTTTTTCTGGGAAATATTTCCGTCTACGTGCCCTTAGCTAATTGATTATCGGTGTTGTTTCTATATTACTTTTGATCATATTAGGAATATTTTCTTGTGTACAGTGATGAAGTGGGGTTTATTGACCCATCTCAGTTTGCTACATTCAATGAAGAGGTCCACAATTCTCCTTCTCCATCTTCTAGAGTTGTTAATGAGTTTGTCGATGAAATCAGCACACCGTCGCAAAAGGCTAGTAGTTTGGACAATTTATTTTGGCACAGGGAACATAAGCTGGGCATCTCTACCCTTGTTCTAGCTCCATTGTATAATGAAGCTAAACAAGCATTCATGGATGCTTATAAGAGATATAGATTGTTGAGTGATTCTCAAACTAAAAATGATGAAACATTATGTAAAAATGCTTTGGATTGTTCAACATCAAGTGCTGAAGGTGAAGTTATGAGACATAGTAGAGCACTTCTTCTGTTGAGCTGTGATTTTGGCACAGCATGGAATTCCAGGTGTTCTTTTTGTTTGAGATATGTGTCTTATGATTGCCTGGGTATTATGTAATTGGTTTAGTTTGTTTACTACATATGATGCTCTTGCACCTGTGAACAGAGTTTAAATGAAATTTACATATGTCCTGTCAATATACTATGTTTTGGACTCTTATTATGTGCATAACTTCTTATGGTCTTGTAGGAAGTTAATTGTGTCGAAGAAGCAATTGTACCCAATGCTTAAGGATGAACTACTCTTATCAACTTTGGTTTTGTCATATTCACCAAAAAGTGAACGTGCATGGAGCCACAGGTAGAATGCATCACTCGTTAGCTATTGCTTCGTGCAAGTTGCCCTTGTCAGTAACGTCTAATGTTACATATTTGGGTGATAAACTTTTATTGACCTTTTTCCACGATACATTTTTTATATCAAAGATGTCCACAGCCACACTACACTATCTTTATATTGGCTTGACATCCACAGGACAAGCTAGTGCTTTGTGTTCATGTTATGCTTTCATGATTTTCTAAGCTGGCCTCTGATTGATGATTGTATTGATAGGAGGTGGGTGATCAAGATAGTGTCTGGGAATTGTGTAAACCTGCAAGACATAGTAGAAAGAGAATCAAATCTAGTGAAATCCCTAGCAGAGGTTTAATTCTGCTCCAGAAATTTGATGTTGTGAATCTAGTGTTTTTTATATGATGAATTTACACTGATGCATTTGCTGCTTTAAGCTTCTTTATCTGTTATAATTTGTTTCGACGTTTTTCCTTTCTTTCGTTAGTTCCTTCAAATCTTAGTAGTTGACTAAATTGTTAAGATATTAACATATTCAATTTTTTGTATTTTTGTTGTACCCTAGTAGTTATTTATATATTTGTCATTGTTGGTGGATGAAAACTCTATCATGCTTACTATAAATCTATTTCTCCATTGTGTGTAGCAATAATTTTTTTGTTTACTGTCATATTTCTCTCACATAAAATAGCAGTTTATAGTTTCATGATATTTATGCAACATTTTTTGTTACTTAAATACAATATTGAAACTACAGAGTAATATCTGCTCAATGTTTTGAAGTCATTGTTCTAATTAGAGCCTTATATTTAATGTCTGCGTAGAATTGACATGAAATTCTAAAGCCCTTTCACATCATTAGCTTATTTGTAACTACACCTTGTATAGATGAACTTGCTTGGTAACATTAGAGCTGAAGTTATGTATTGGTGTTCTTATTTATGTAGAGGTCTAAAATGAATTACCGTGCTTGGAATCACCGGTGCTGGTTAGTATCCTACATGTCAGATTCACAGGTCAGATTAGATATGATCCTATTTATATTCCTTTTTATGATGGCCCACAAGTGGAAGTGGAGTTACTATAACTGAAACATTGCTTACTTTTTTAACATATCAATCTTCTTTTCAGTTTTAAGAGAATAGTTCATTATCTCCATGTTGAGTTTGGTTTCCACATGTATTATGTGCAAACTGGTTTGAAAATGGCTTGCTTATATTCTTTTGCTAATTATACCATATTTCAGTAGTGGAAGGCCCATTCGAAAAAGAAGACAGATAAGTGACTCCGATAGAGAGAATACCAGATATTGAACAACAGTAGAATAGTTAGCTGGAAAGGGAATCGTAATCACATAAACAAAATACCTGCTTTTTTCCGTTCACTATTCTTGCTTGGCCCATTCTTCGGTTTGAGAGTTCACCATTTGTATTCAAACATTACTCTAGCCGAGTGAAGGGTCCGATCTTTTCCAAAATGGCTGTTCAGAATTGGCTTGCTTCTTCCTAGTTATGCCGTTCTCTGTTTTTCCATTTACCTTCCATGGTGGTTTCGAACCTCAGGCATGCTTCACTGGTCTTATTCTTCTGAATTTTCCTTTCCCTCTAAAGTTTAGATGATTCAGAGGGTTTGTTACCTTGACTTCTCGCTCAGCCTTCTTTGTGATATTTAGAGGGAATGGACTGATCTGTTTGGCTCTGTTGCGTTGATTTATTTGATTCAGGTGTTGCTTGAACTGATGAATTCTCAAGAGTGGGCGGCCCATCATGTTTCTGATAATTCTTGTTTCCATTACCGAGCTGTAAGTTTCCTATTTCTTTTTTTTTTTTTTTATTTATTTCAAATGCTTCTTGTTCTAACAATCTGTTACCAAAAGCGGCAAGACTTGGTTGTTTTAAGTTTGAGATCTTCTCAGTACTATATTACTCTGTGAAAGGAATGAAGATATTACATTCTGCATTGGAGTCTTTGAGTAATTTTAGTTCAACACTGATATCTTGTGGAAAATTTGTATGTTAGATCCCTAAACCATATATAGCACTAAGATTTAATTCTTTACTTTCATCCTCCTATGTACCATTGAATGTGTTGTTGAAGTGCTTTCATCTAAGTCAAACTTGAGAGGATTCAACTGAGACATAGGATGTGATTTATCTTTCTGGAATTTCCAAAAGAACTACTTTAAATAATATCTTTACTGTTCATAAATATGTAGCGAAATAACCTGTGTTAAAAATTACTAATATTGTGTGTTATCAGCGGTTATTGCTCCAGATCATGGAGAATTCACAGCATAATGATACAGATGGTTTGTCCAGGACAAGATTACATCGAATATGGAAGGTTTGGGCTTACAATTGCTTAATTTGTTTCAATGAAATGATTTCTTCCAAAATTTGTTTACATAAAACTAGACATTCGTTGCCAACCTTGAAATTAATATATATATTCATGACTGTGCTATAGCTAAAGTAGTTAGTTGTATCTCATTAATGTATTACGAGCCATAGTTTTTTTCACGTATACATAATAGAACAATGTTTTTGCATTGCAACTATGACTATTGTTCATTGTTGAAACTGTTTAAAATAAGTGATTGTATTCTTTGATGTGAAAGCAAAATGGATGAGACAAACAAATAACAAGGGTGATAAGTAACAAGAAACAACTACATGCAACGTGTTGATGTTGATCTATTTCTTAGTAATGCTATCCAAGCTCTAGTATATCAACTCACAAATGACTATTTGGGTATTATATTTATATGAAATGTATATTTTTGGTCAACCTTATCGATAACACTTCTTGACTGGAGCTATTATTGTGTGAATTTTAGATGATTCCTTTTTGTCTTATAATCTCTTGAACTTGATTCCGCTTAATGTTGATATGACAGGAGGAACTAGATTGGGTTCGGATGTTGATACAACGTTTTGTGGGAAGAGAGGTTTGTAGTCTGCGGACTTTCTTTTTATAGTACTGTTATAAGATAAAGTTAGTTCATATATATATATATAAGTATAAACAATAGTTCTCTTTTTTATTATGTTTGATTAGGTGCAAATATTTCTGTAGGGCGAGCACTGAGCCACTCACATTATGTATCTTCAAATTTCAAATATAAACTGACAACTGTACCTGCATTTTCAGAAACATTAGAATCATTGTTGCCTGTAGATTGATACTCCTTTTATCATTTTTGGAGGTGAAGAGATAGTTATCGTGATGCAACATAGAGGGAATTATAAGATTTAGTCCTTTCTGCCTTCATTCATGTCTTGTGGCTTCGGAGTCATACCAAGTAGTTTTCTAATTTTTTATTTCTATTCATCTTTTATAAATTACTACTTTGTTTTAGACGTCATTGTGTAGGTCTTAGAACTTGTTCTTGTTTTATTTTATGTCCATCTTTTTCATGTTGATGATCAATTTTGAGTTTTTATAAGTTGATTTTTGTGTCGATAGGTGCCTCTATGAGTTGTATTTTCATGCCCTCCACCATTGAACTATTTATATGCAACTAATGTTTGATACTGTAAAAGCATCTGTATAAAAATCAAATAGGCATACCTGAAGTTTAATTAAATTCCGAATGTTTAGATCTTTTCCCTCTAAATGAAAATCTTAATAGGAATATATTGATTTTCATTATGTGACCTTTGAGTTAAGAGGTAAAGTAAAAAATAGTTGATTCTATCCAGTAAGGTCTTTCGATTATTTGATTGTCGTTTTCACTTGTCTCTTTCAAGGCTTTATGGCTTCATCGGAGGTTCCTCTCACTGGTGTGGATCAAACAACTAGCAGTCGATCACCAAACCAAATGTTGTCACTCTAGTTGCGAGACTTGCGACATTAGTTTCTTTATCGGAAATGAACTAAAACTATTTGATTCTTGCGCAATCATCCCGGATGTTAATTTTGGGGACTATCAAGAGCAGGCAACCCATGCTGCAGCATATATTCTGTGGCTTACCAAGGTAATATTATTCATTCTAAAATTTTATTCGTATCGTGATTCTTATTAACCATAAACTGTAAACTGTTTGTTTAGCAACTTCCAATGCTTTTCCGGGAAGAGCTTAAAAAAGGCTCACATTATGAGTCGCTCAAAACACTGGTGGATGACGCAGGAAACCGCTGCCTTTGGGATTCTGTTACTGCATTCGGTGATTTACATTAATAAATGTTCATTTGGCAATACCTTGTGTGTCCCTGTTAATGGTGAGTTGTTTTGATCTTGTTGAAAGGCCTTGCGGAAAAATATATATATATATATATATAGAGAGAAAAAAAAAAAAACCCGGATGTTGATTAGTCCTAATCAGTACATAAAATATAATCTGTCAGCACTCGTGTGTGGATTATTAGCATGTATTGTCTATTTTATTACATATATATATATATGTGTGTGTGTGTCTGTGTCAACGTACCATGTATGCTGAAATTAATGTGTGGGCTATTATTACATGCTATAAGTTTACATCTTATATGTTGTCGACATTATCAATATGAAATGCCACAGAGACGTTGGTTGGAATTTTACGTTCAAAATATCGTATTAACATATTTTTATATTGGGACAAACACACTCTAAATGTTAATTTTTAAATTAGTTACACTTAAGGTCTGTGCACCTTAATGTATGTGTCCACCCTTAATTATTTTGTAATATTTTAATTTTTAATTTTTGATTGAATCTAAGATTATAATTTAATAGTTCTATATATTTAAAATACTTTTAAATGTGGAATAAATTATACTTTGAAAAATTAACATAGATTTCTTTATAAAAAATAAAAAAAATAAAAAACACATTGGCAAATAAAAAAGTAACTTACAATAAAAATAACATACAACAATTGATACACTAACAAAATTTTGAAGCTAGTCTTGGTTGATGCCACAACTTTGTCAGTTTTCATTTGGCTTTCTCAACTTACTATTAACATGTGCACCATAAATATTAAAAAAAAAAAAAACAAATATACATACACATTGATATTATATATACATTATTTATTAATAAAAAGTCAATCGTTCAATATAAAATATTACTCTCTCCCTCCCGTCTCAAACAAGGTGCAACATTTGTTTCGGCACGGGTTTTTAGGTGGATAGTATTAAGTAGGATAATTTAAAAATTAGGTGATGCGATGGAGAGAAAAATGTATATTTTTTTTTATTTATTTGGGTGATGTGATGAGATAAAGTGTGAGAAAAAGATTACCTATTTGTTCCCACCGCACACAAAAAATCAATTTAGCTAAAAATGTTGAGCCAACAAAATGAATTAATTTTTCGAAAACGGTTTCGCATTTTTTTCGAAAAGCCGAAGAACCACCCAAATAAGTCATTCGAAAAATATTTGAGTGACAAATAGACTCTCTTTAATAAGTCAGTCAAAAAATATTTGAGCGACAAATAGACTCTCTTTAATAAGTGGTCAAAAAATATTTGAGCGACAACAATAGTTAAATATTATATATCTTTGGTGATTTTATTTTTCAAAAATAATAATCCCCGTCCCATGTAAAATGTCTATTTTCCTTTTTATTTGTCCCACATAATTTATTATTTTTTAAAATAAATATAATTATACATTTCAATTGCATTTCAAATTTAACACAGTAATTTATAAGTAATTATTTTTACTAATATACTTCTTAATTATTTACTAATTTAATATATTTTACCTAAATTCATGTATCTACCGTAATATAAATAATTTAGTCGAAACGGAGAGAATAATAACTTTTTCGAAAACATGTTACGTGTTTCTCTTTGCTCGATTTTCATCAGTAAATTATATATATATATATATATATACCCTAAAATCAATTTTTTTTTTATGTCGAATGAAAGCAATGTTTTTAAGCTTAATAAGAGTTAAACTATTAAAAATTACTCCTACTTCGTTGAAGATTTTTAGTTTTCTTTCATTTATTTAATTTTAATTTTTAATTTTTAAATAATAAAAAAAATTAATAAAAATTATAATTTAAAAAATGTTGTGTAAACAAATTTAATAGTTGATGTATGCATTTACCGGTTGGATTTTTTCGCCAAAATTGGGGTAAGCTCTTCAATTGATTGATATTAAGTCTCCACCTATCTTATTTATTATATTAAATAACTAAAAATTTAATTTTATAACAGAAAGGTTCGCGTGGCCTAATGGATAAGGCGCTCGCCTCCGGAGCGGGAGATTGTGGGTTCGAGTCCCACCGTGAACGATTAGTTGTTTGGTTTGTGACACAAATTAATTTTTACATTATTCAGTGCCTATAATTTTCAATAAAAATTCTTATTTTTTTTCTTACGAATACTTTCATTAGTGTCTTATAATACTAATAGAATGACATATAAATTCGACAAGTTCGTAGTACTATGATGAGGAACCACTACTTGACTATTATTATTAATGGGAATCGCGCCCTCGTTGTTGCGAAGCCTCGCTAGATATTCTAACTATGTTATAATTATGAAACACAAAAGCATGAAAACCACATCGACGATCACAGTCATGTCATCGACATCCATGTTGGTGAATTAATTGTTTTTACAATTTTATTTTATTTTATTTGTTTGTGACACAAATTAATTTTTACATTATTCAGTGCCTATAATTTTCAATAAAAATTCTTATTTTTTTTCTTACGAATACTTTCATTAGTGTCTTATAATACTAATAGAATGACATATAAATTCGACAAGTTCGTAGTACTATGATGAGGAACCACTACTTGACTATTATTATTAATGGGAATCGCGCCCTCGTTGTTGCGAAGCCTCGCTAGATATTCTAACTATGTTATAATTATGAAACACAAAAGCATGAAAACCACATCGACGATCACAGTCATGTCATCGACATCCATGTTGGTGAATTAATTGTTTTTACAATTTTATTTTATTTTATTTTTTGGTTACATAGAAGTAGGCCCGTTCCTCATCGACATCCATGTTGGTGAATTAATTTTTTTTACAATTTTATTTTATTTTATTTTTTGGTTACATAGAAGTAGGCCCGTTCCTGACATATCGAAGGCATGGGGCAAAACTTAAAAACGAGATCCCTACCAAATAATTTTTTTAAAAAAAGAAAAAATAATTATTATTAAAAATTAAAAATAGCAATATTTCAGTTTTACAAAATATTTTTAATGCAAAACAAATTAAACATTAAACAATACAACTCAAAACTATTAATATTTTGGATTATTTCACCAACTTCATACATGTTGCCACCGCCATGATATCATATTTTGTTTGCTATTTTGTGGGAGCTATTTTTACTGTATGTCTGCACAATTAAATAAAAATACACAAGTATTACATAAAATTACTTATCCTAGCATTTTTTGATGCAAAATCATTAATAATATTATCAACATCAATGGTTTCTAGCATTTCTTTTTTCAATAGATAAGATAGCTAAACCATTCAATCTTTCTTGCGACATAGATGACCTCAAATAAGTTTTCATTAACTTTAATTTAGAAAAACTTCTTTTCGCAGATACTACTGTTGCAGGAACGGTTAATAAAATTCAATAAGCAATCGAAACATTTGGATAACTATCAGTGGCACTAAGATATTCAAGAATTTCAATAGGTGAATATAAGTTATCCAGTAAAGTAACTTGTAAAAATTTTAATTCAGTAATAAAATTTTCTAAATCAACACCACATAAATCATTATGAGATAAACTATTTGAAAAAACAACACTCCAATTTCTAAGTTCATCATCATTCAAAGATTTTAAGCTTTTTAGAATTAAACAAAAATCCAAAAATACTATTAAATTTACTTAATTGTTCAAATCTCTCATTTAAGGATGTAATAGACATATCAACAATAACCAGAAAATAATTAATCTTAATTGTACTTCATCAGATTGTATTACATCTTCATTTTCATTTTCATTAAACTATTTTTTTTCTATAAATATGTCATTTTTTTTTTGAAAATTTACATTCAACATCCATATTAAAAGCAACTTCTTTAGTTTTCTCTAAACTAGAGTCAAATCCAACATTTCTATAATTTTTAAAATATTTTATAACATCTTCTATTTGTTTGACAACAGTATCAACACAAACTGATTTAGATTGCAATATTTTATTTACAATATTAATTATAGATAAAATATCATATTAAATTACCATACCAAGTAAAAATTCATAGGACTCGAGAGCATTTAATAAATTTTCAACTACGCTTTTTGACTTGACATCACTACATGAATTTTATAAATCCATTAAAGCTAATCGAATTCGAGAAGTTTGAAATTAATAGCTTTAACACTTTTAATTCTACTTTTCCATCGAGTATTTGACAAGGATTTTACCGTTAAACTAGATATATTGTTAAGCAAAAATTTTCATCATTTTATAGAACTTGAAAATAGTATATATATGCGTTGTATAACTCCAAAAAATGATATGGTTTTCACGCAAGAGTTTGTCATATCACAAAAAGTAAGATTTAGACTATGACAATCACATGACATATAAAAAGCCCTATGACTATATCAAGTAATCATTTTTTAACACCTTGGTGCTTACCTTTCATATTAGAATCATTATCATAACTTTGACCTCTAATATTAGCAATATCAAGATCAAGAGATTTAAGCGTATTTACTAATTCATTGAAAAGCTCTAACCCACTTGTATCATCTACTTTTAAGAACTCTAAAAAATATTCTTCAATTTTTATCATACTATTTGACATATTTATACAACGTATAATCAAAGTCATTTGCTCCTGATGACTAACATCTGGGTATAATCAAGAATAATAGAAAAATATTTTGATTATTTAATTGTTTTTATAATTGAATTTTTAATACCAATAGCCAATAATAAAATTAACTTATTTTGAATTTTAGGACCGAGATAATGATAATGAATGTCTTGATCTTGAATTCGTCTAACGTGATCTTGCATTACTAAATCAAATTCAACAATCATTTCAATCAATCCTAAAAAATTGTTATTGCTATTTTGATAAAGTTTTGTATTTGATCCTCGAAAAGCAAAATTATTTTTAGCAAGACATTTGACAACAAAAATAATTCTTATCAAAACTTGTCTCAAACGTTCTTTTTCTTTTCCAATTTCTTGTTGCAAATCTTTATCAATTGTTTGATTATTTGCAAATCTTATTTTTACTTCATTCCAAATATTCATATTAGTAATATGTTCAAAACCATTCTCATGTGTTCTAAGTCTATCCCCAAGATGTTTCAAGTTATTTAATCCATCAAATGCTAAATAACTTATATTATTATTGGATTTAAATAACTTGCAACAAAAACAATATACATTATCTTCATATTTAGAATAAACTAACAATTTTCGGTCTAAAATCTCACCATTTTTTTATTTTCTAGTGTAATGAATATTTGA